GGTATTCTGCAAAAACTATGTGGTTTATTGGTGTTGAAGTAGAGCAAGAGACGAGTGCAGCCCCTCCTAAAAAAAAATCCTGGACCCACTCCTGCTTTTCAAAGCCTTTTCCGCCAAAAAAGTGAACCTACTCACTGATTCGCAATTTAGTGATGACTTACATGGAAGTTATATCAAGATAGAAATGCAATTTGTCTGTGAATATATACCTTTGTCTTGACAGTGACTTCATTTTACTGGTCGAGCGAGCACTGTACTTATTGTTAGCATTAGCTGACTGAATATCTCGCAACTTCAGGCTGCATTATGTACTAAGTACATCATCATCAGCATCATCATCATCATCATCGTCGTCGTCGTCATCGCCATCATCATGGTCACGGTCATGGTTTCATCAACCTCACCATCATTATCATCAACATCGTCCCCTTTACCACCACCACCACCACCACCTTCATCATCATAATCCGTCATCATCTTCATTATCATTTCTTTTGTTCAAGCAGGTTATATAACGTGTCGGTGTTGATTTGATGTGAGGCTGCTATGCTATAGCACTACACACACATAGACGCAGTCCTCTGTTCTTAAAGAACAGTGTGTGGGTTTTTTTGAACGTATTGCAGATTTTTTATTTGAGTAAGGATTGTAAAGAAGGAGGTGTATTTATTGACTTCTCAGGACGAATACGATCTATATACACGAATGTACGACGCCGATAAAGCTGAACTATCGGAGCTGCAAGCTCGCTTTGACATTTTAGAGAGGAAATATAATGCGATCATAGAGGAAAGAAGACTCTTAGAAGAAGCCAAAGCGAGAAAGTTGGAAGAAGAAATGAAGCAAAACAAAGCTGCTGCAACCATACAAGCAGTTTGGCGAGGATACCAGTTTAGGAGGCTTATGCGCAACAAAGCCAAGAAAGCGGGCAAAAAGAACAAGGGTGGAAAATATATAAATAAATAAATAAATGCGTACATTTCTATTCGTTTTTTGCCTTTTTCTTTTTCGTTATATATGTAAGCGGTAAGTATCAAATAAAGGTAACTATTTCGGATGTCAAGTTACTCCTGCGTAATAAAATAATGGTAAATTCAATTCCTACCTGATCCCGCAAAACAAGACTATTTTACGGGTAAAAAATATCATGGCTGCTGACTGGAGCATTTGAATGCATCGTAAAAAAAACCTTTTACAAGGCGCATTACCCTAGAAATCGCAGGATTTTTCATCCTTCTAAACTAAATCCACTTTTCCTTCATCAAAGTATTTCAACTTCTTGCGTTTACGCGCCGCCTGCGACCCTTTATACATCGTCTCTATTGTATTTACAGTGTATTTAAGCACGTGAAAAATTATGCGACTGTAAAAATCAACCCTAAGGCGCAGAAACCTCGTATAAATAACCTTTATATTACGTGTTATATACCTTATTTTCTCGAATAATAGCCGGGGATGATTATTTGATTGAAGGCGTTTACTTCAAATATTGCTCACTGGAAGTCGCGCCCTAACTTGTTTCATGATCCTATTAAATCAAAAAAATAATACATCAAATAAACTGAACATGGGCTTTTTAATCGTTTAAATTTAGTTCCTTGACCATTTTTCAGAACTTGAATCGTCACCGATGAATTTTGCTGGATCAGACTCCACTTTAACTTACCAGGGAGAGGATAAAAGAGAGAAAAGATGACAAAAGAGGTGGGGTGGGGGGATTATTCGAGGGACGATTATTCTAAGAAATACGGTAATGAGCGTTTAAGAAATGGCGCGTCTTAGGTAAGACTTCGTCTCATCTTTCGTATAAATGGTCCTAATGACCTCGACACAGCCTGAACTTGGACCTCTTGATACGGAGTCCAAAACACCTAACCACTTATAGGCCTTCACTCCGCTCCGCTTATTGGACAAAAAACACTCTGCAACCTTAACAGTTTTTCTAGCTATCAATTGTATAATCATAAGAAAACCCCTGAGCTCGGTTAAAACCTGCCTTTGGTTAAAGTACGACCAGACGACCTTTCGAAACCAAAGGTAAGGTGCACTCATAAGGAGCCCAGTTGTGCCACTAAAATGGTTTCTGTCCAAAGGAAATTGAGAAATCCAAGTAAAATGAATCATAACTTCCAATTTGTCTATTGCCAACGTAATGTTCATAGGCTGGATCGATGGAATGAAAGCAGACCGCTTGACAAATTTCGGGGACCAAAGCGAAATCTTGGGGGTTTGGTGCGATGAAAACCCTTGCTTGACTTGCTTGACATGCACGTGTCTGATCGATCTAAGCAGTAAAAGCGTTATTGTTCAAAGTAATATTTCCAGGCAATACTTTATTAACCTTGTGTCTACTTTTATTAGATTCCAAGATATTTTCTATGTTATTAAGCACATACTTGATAATAATTTTTATCTTAAAGGAGTACGCGATTTTGATCTGACGAACTATTTTTCCTTACATCTGAAGAAAATCGCTTCTCTAATTGGCTGGTATTTATTTGGATATAAAAGTTCACAACACAGCTTTTCAATTTTTATACCTTAGTTTGTACATATAATCATTAATGAAGTTTTTATTTTAATAATTAAGCTTTTATTCTCTATTTTAACTCATTTTTGACAGCCTTTCTGAAAAGAGGGCCATGTGGCCCTTCATTCTGGGGCTTCACGAAATCACACAAAAATGGATGGCGACGCGGTAAAGAATTTGTGGCAGTTTTAGCCAACAAGAAATTCTTGTGGCGATGAATTTCAACCAAATATGTCCTTCACAATGAATTTAAAAGCTTTTTGGATCATAAACTGGTAAATAGATGCAAATGTCGAGTTAAGAAAAGGTTTACAACCGTAGCGTGCTTTTCGCCGTGAGTAATTCATTCTGCCACACATGTTCATCAAATTCGATAAAATGCTTCTTAGTTTGGGTTTATACCGTCAAGGCCTTGCTTTTTTCATAAATAAAGTGTTCGAATACATATTTGTGTGTTTTACTTTGATTCATAGATGAAAACAGGAAGATAACAGACTTTTTCTGTGAGTAATCACTCAGCACGCGGTGACGCTGCCTAATTTGCATAATTGGGAACCAACGGGAAAACATAAATAAAAAATTCTGCATCCTTCAATGTTTTTAGCTGATTGGTGGTCTGTTTTGCTAGATAACTAGAGAAATTTTTTTAAAAACTTTAAGCTCAATCCAAGTATTATTATTGCAAAATCACATTTTATATTTGAATTTTTGCATAAATAATAAGAAAATGTATCTTGTAAATTTTATCAGTGAGGTATTATGGGCTTTCAAAAGGTAAAATATTTTTTTAGGCAAAGTTTATTGTATGCCCTTTCAAATGAGGTATAACGTTTTAAGCTATGGTAAATAACAGTGGAGATATAATTTTTTTAAAATGTGTGGTCAATGGTCAAATTTGCTGTGTACGCGCCTGTCATAAATGAGTTTAAGCTTGTGTAGTTGTTTTAAACGTTCTATCTAGACATATGTTAGAAGAAAGAGCTCATCCGGGTGATGCTCATCCAAAGGGTGATATGGTCTCAGTGACAACTTCCCATCGCTACTCGAAGCAAGGAGGAATGAATTTTCTGTGGCTGTTTTTTCTGTCCAAGATGGCTTCAATGCAATAAGACAGGTGAAAGGCTCACTGTTTTTTGAATGGGGTTGAAATTCTAAAGGGGGATTAGGAGGCGTGTCCTTATTCCAACCCTGTTGAGAAAAAAAAAATCCAATTTCAATCTGATTAATTTGGAATTCTGAAATAATGTACAGTAGATCAAAGCCCACCGTCGCTTGCTTGAGCATTTTATAGTGAGTGAAGAATTTCTAATTGTACCCGTGCAGAACCCAGAGACTGCATTGGAAATTTTATGATTAAAGTGATTTCGCATTCTATCATTGAGATTATGACGATAATATCATAGGTGACGAATTACTCCTTAATTTTGGCGCGAAATTTCAGCGTTAATTTGTAATTTCACATGTGAAATTACTAAATTGCCATGGCAACCTGCCGTACGTCTCCGTTTCAAGATGGCGACGAAGTTTTAAAATGTCATGAATGAAGATGTCAGGGCATAAAAAGACGCTTTAGAAGACCTGAACACACGAAAGAGCACTTCAAGAAGGATTCTTAGAGGTATGTTGTCGAACAATTCTGAAAATTTAATCCAAATGTCAGCTCTAGACGTTTGAGAGAGTGGAGTTCACGATCGATCGATACGATGCAGGATAAACAAGTCAAAAATCCTCGATTGCTAAGGTAATTCGTCACCCATGATATTAATAGATAATCAAATGGTATGCTCGTGAAATTAGGGAATAATTTCACTTGCGTTTTGTCCAAATCCTTATAATTTCCCGGGCCTTTAGGCATGTTCTATTTTATTAGAACAACTTACCTACCCTGTGTGTTCTCAAGGACAGTAACTTTAATTACTTATACTTGTTAGTGTACTATATTTTTCTTATTTTGAAAGAGTAGGTGTGCTTTCGAAAAAATTTTTCAAAACGAACTATTAGGACGAAATTGTGTCTAACCTTCACTGATAATTCGTCGTCGTCATCAATTTCAAGGCTGTAATTACGATCATTTGTTGCCTCTTCAAATACCAAGTGATATGATTTCTTTGGTGACCTTGTGCCGGTTCTGAAGGTTATTTTACCTTAATTAAAGAGAAAAATAAGTAAATGCCGTGCTTTCCAGAGAAAGACACTGTTGAAGTTTGACTGAGTGTAACAACTTACCAAAACAATGTTACAATGTAAGACTGCTGATATCAACAGCTTCAAATACTACTTCTACTAACACCGAGTTTTCATTGATGAAAATATACGAGGAAACAAGCCCTTGATTGCACAACATGAATTCACCAATGAGTCGTAAACGAATAGACCACTAAATCTGTACTTCTTTCATTTAACCTGATTCAGGCTGTTAGAGCCCCCATCGCGAAAAATTTAATTAACTTTAAAACCGATCAAGCTTTGACCACCAAACTTAGCGACTTTCCCTAAAAATTAACTGGGATCATTTTAAACGTCGTCGTTACGTGTACGTCAACTTTGATGTTACCATGGCAACCAAGTTTTGGCAGCCATGTTTTTCATAATTTGCATTTGTTTCTCAAAAATAGGTTTAAATTCTATTTTTACCTATGGAATTATTATTATTATTTTTAATAATAATAATAACCTTTTATTAACAACAAAGCTAACTACAGTGAAACCTGTATTAAGCGGACACCCTCTATTAAGCGGACAGTAGCCAAAGTCCCCAAATTTATTTCCCTTATTTTTTTTTAAATGAAACCTTTATGAAGCGGACAACTGTATTAAGCGGATACGGACACCTAAAAAGTACCTGAAATGGTCATTTCTATTGTTGTCAACCTGTATTAAACAGACACTTGTAATTAAATTCCACCACCCAACATGCTAGACACCGGTAAAAGAATGCCTCGAATTGCAACCCACAAATTTTTCGATTTTTACATTAAAACACGTGACTTGACGAACTTACTTGATTAGCTGCACAGTACAGTATTGTTTTCTATATTTCGTTTTGTTTGTTTAGAGCTTGTTTCACTCATTGATTTCTTCAAATTTGAGTTGCAATCTATTTTTATGGTAGTATGATCAATTGGTCCACTTTGATAAAGAAATTAATGCAAACTTATATCGTCATAGTCTCTGGGAGTACTCTAAACGTTTCCACTGGTCATTTGTATGGCATTTGACACCTCATTTGACGTTACCTATCGAAACCTGTATTAGGCGGACACCCTTTATTATGCGGACACTACTGCATTCCCCGACGGTGTCCGCTTAATACAGGTTTCACTGTTTTAAAACCTATGAACAATTAATTTAGCTGCAGAAAAAAAAACTATTTGTTCAAAGCACTATTTACAAGTCATTTCATCTCATAGGCTCCTGTTCATTTCGATTAATTAAAAATAATAGTATCTAGAATTATTTCTGGAATTATTATATCACTCTTAAATATACTGTTATTTAATTAATTAAAAGTTATTGTCACTGTTGATGAAATTCAGGGGTTTTGGTGACTAGTTTTATTAGGAAAAAAAAAGATTTAACATCAAATGGCATATGCTGAGTTTAATTTTCAACAGTTTTCATTTTTTCTCGGAATTGCATCTTCTGCAGATTTTTGGCTTCCTAAGCATCGCTTTATACTCGGATCAAGTTTTCTATTAAAAATTCTTCGCTTTATAGCGGTTTTAAGGAAAATGAAATACATTTAAATAATTCAAAATGGCGGATCCAAGATAGTTAATTTTATTTAGTAGTAAATGACGCCATCATGACATCAGTGCCATTGTTCAAGGTTATTTATATGTAAGCCAACTTCTCGATTTTATTAAACACTTTACTATTAAAGTATTTTCCGCTCCATGTTTAATTTAGGGGAAATGTGGATTCTGGCACTAAATCCAACCATATTACGTCATAATGACGCCAGATATACGTTACTGTGCCAATCAAAATATACCCGGAAGCTGGAAATGGCGAGTTATTTGTTCTGTGTTATTTTGGTGGCCTTAGCATGAGAGGTTTTGAAGTTATAAAGGGGAGCCTCTGGTGCCCCCCCCCCCTCCCCCGGTCGCAGGAAGAAAAAAATGCGCTGTCAACCTACGGTTAAAATTTCATTTTATTCTGTATTTTGTGGGAACTTTTTTCTAGGATAGTATCATTAACAAAATTAAACTAGAAGTGCTGAAAAATTAGTCTTTTGACTAACTGAATTTAACAGGCTGGTTTTACAGTATATTAAATATTGTGGATTTGGAAAATCACACTAAATAAGTATATAAAAAGATAATAAAGATCTATATTATAGAAATATTAAATGAACAATAAATAAAAAAATAACATCATAAGTGCGTCTCACCCAAATTTCCTTCCCCCTCTTTTTTGCTCGACTTGACTTCTGCAAGGTCTGAATAGAAATGAATCATAATTGTTATGTGGATTTATGTATATAGAGTTTGATGAATGGAGCACGCACAAAAAACAACCAAGAGCACAACAATAATAATAATAAAAATTAAAATTAAAGGTTGTTTGTGCCCATTTTCTGGGAGGTGGAGGGGGGGGGTAATACCACGATTATCGGCAACGAGTCAGGTGGGAGAAGAAGTGAGGCTCTCGAGGCGGAAGCAATATAGAGCTGATACCGTGGGTATTCACGACATGCAACAAAAAAAACCGTCGAATGATGTCCCTTCAACAAGAATCCGGTTGTTTCTGAAACAACAATTACACGAATTAAGTGCGGATTCACTGGTTTCATGTGAACGGAAGGCACTTCCGTCTAAAAATGCGTTTTCAAAAGTATCCTGATTAGTGTGGACGGGGTCTGGTGCAAGAAAGATTAAAGGTAACAAAAGGCAATTTTAACAACACAAGAATCAAAGAGCACGCTTGAGATTTTGAATGTGACAACCTCACCCTTCTTCAAGATTTCCACGGCGTGGTTAAGTGCGGATTGACCAGAGAAAATTGGTTTAGAGGAATTTTCCCCTCGTTTCTTTTAGCGACAGCTGCATTTAGTCAGTATATTGAATGTGGATTTGACAAATTAAAAGATATAAAAGGAAAAGAAAATACTTGTCAATTACTAGATGCTTGGTTACCTGTATTTGATGTATTGATCTGTAACTCCAAGAAACGTTGACTTGTTAGTGACCACACCCGATGCACTTTTGCCATCTTGTTACTGCGCGTTTGCTCTGTTGATAATAAATGATGACGGAAATAATAATTATATCAAGCATGAGACTTGAGTGTTTCTCACGGAGGATGGGGGATTTCCTTTAATGGCCTCTCTTGGGTATGGCGTTCCGTTGCGGACAAAATTATACCTTGGGAGGCTCCGCCCGAAAAGGGAACAAAGAAAAAAAAAAGACTTCATGTTGCTAGCTATGTCAAAGAGGCACTATTTTAATTTCAGTGAATGGTGTAAGAAAGGGGGTACTTTTTTGCAGAAAATGTTTAATAAGTGTAAAGAGCAGAACCTCGCGGCAGAACTTTGTGTGGTGAAACAAAGACAAAACGGCTAGAATCTATTGGACAAAGGAATGAGGAGTCTTGCATCTAATTCCAAACACTCGTTAAACGTTAATTTATATCCTGTTTGTTTTTTTGATATGAATTTGTGAAAATGACATTGAAATAAAAAGCTTGCTTTAAAAATTGTTTCTATTATAACATTTTAACTAGATAAAGCCGTAGTTTTTTAAATTCACTACAATCTGCTTTTTGTTGTTTTTAACTTAATAACTACGTAAATAATTTTCACTATCAGAAAGCGTACAATTTTATGCCTCTTCAAAAAAGTAATAATACTTGAAGGAAAAACCTTACCTTAGAGTGACTCGATCTCCTGCGCACTGACAAATACTTACAACGTATAACAAATCATCTTTTATATGGAAGAAACGAAAGATTTATGTGATTGGAGAGAGCGAGATGTGAAACAAATGGAGGCCGCATCACATGCATGTGGCTGGAAATACTTCCTAAGAAAATTTAAATAACTTATCGTCATTCTGGGTAACAAAGTTTCATTTCAGAAAGTCACGCAAGGAAAAATAAGTCATTGCTTTCCAAAGAATCTGAATTTACTGTATTTTTTTTTTATCAGACAACTCATATCTATCTACGCCTGCGCATTAACCTTAAGATGATTTAAATGAAATTTGATTTGAAAAACATGTCTTACTAATAAAAAAAAAAAAAAAAGTTATTGGCAAACTTGACGTTGTTTGCAATGCTATTGCTGGCATGTTTCATTTTCTTATGATTCTTTCGAAACATATATCGGTAGTATCTTACGATGCGAGGAAAACTGAAAGTCTGAATTTCCGATAATAGATAAAATTTTGGTTTTTAGTTTGGGGTTTTCGAAAAGTGAGTAATTCCCCAGTTAGGAAGAACGAAAACTTTAAATTTCTCGATTTAGCAAATAAATCCGCTTACAAAAACGCTAAATTAAATATAACCTTTGACTCTCACTGCGGAATAAAACATTTGCCCATTTTCCCATTCATGGAAACCTAACTTTTATAACAGGGAGCTTTTCCCTCCCTTTCGCTAAAAAGCTGAATACCCTCAAAACCGGCCAACAGTGAGAGAAATTCTCGGATCAATCTTAGCAGCTGGGCACAGAACCTTATATAAAAACAGTAACAGAATATAATATACACCTTATATATTCCACTGCACAAAAATTGGATCAATCTTAGCAGCTGGGCACAGAACCTTATATAAAAACAGTAACGGAATATAATATACGACACCTTATATATTCCACTGCACAAAAATTACCCTATTTTAGTTGCTGTGTCACTAATTAGCGCAATTTAAGTAAAATAGCTCATTACTAAAAGTCCTTCTTACGAACGCCTTCTTTAACACTTAAAAATTATGTAAAAGTTTTTGTTGTCTTTTGTGTATGAGTTACAGAAGCCTTTCCTAAGATAATTACAGACTTTTATACAAGGCTTGTGTAAGTGTTTTACTCAAGCCTTGTGTAAGCACCTTTAAGTCTTCTGTAAGGACTTTATACAAGCCTTGTGATAAATACTTACACAAGCCTTGTATAAAGAGTCCTTACACAAGCCTTCTGTAAGCTTTCTTACGTGTTCGGTAATTATCTTAGGAAAGCCTTCTGTAACTCATAGACAAAAACCAACAAAAACGTTTTACATAATTTTTAAGAGTGTGTCCATGAGAAAACCAGGCAGAAGCAGGCAGGAGGTGATAATGCTCAAATCACCGATTTCGCTCAAACTTGGCACAAATGTTAGGTATCAGGAGTTAGCTTATGTGACAGAATGTCAGGTCAAAATATTAAATTCCCTGGGAGATCCGGGCTCCCCCTGTAAAAATCGCCATTTTGCCCGTTTATGCATAATTAATTAGCTAACTTTACGATGCCAGTGCAACAAACAGAAAAGCCACCTGGAACTTAAATGCACTGAGAGATAATCTGACATCATAAGACTTTAAGCACAATAAACTGTTTAAAGTCGCCGATTCCATTTCCCCCCTCTTAGCCCCCTTAAGTTGGGTCATCATTTCCAGGTTTTGAGTAAGACGTAAAATTAGGATATTTTATTCCCAAATATCTCTGATGAGCAACCGCTTATCTTTATAACTTTTGCATGAGTAGTTAAAGCCATCACTTAAGTTGAGAAAATGATCATAAAAAGTTTGGGCAATTCACTTTCTTCCATGTGTTGACATAAACTGTTCATGTGACTGTACGACTTTTGCATATTTCATCAAAATTCAGGCCCTCACAATATTCGTGTGTTTGCCTTTGAATGAGGAGAAATCGAACAAAAAAACTCATAGGACAATGATTTAACATTAATAAGGGTAAAATCATAAAAATTGTTGTGCAAGAAACGCTAACGATGATTTTTGATAGCTATATACGCGATCTTTTCATGTAAAAACAACATACAAAGATTTAATTCACAGTTCTACTTACTTTAACAATTTCGCCCTAAAAACAATATAAACGATCAATAAAATCCATATACGTATCTCTTAGATGTCTCAACTGCTAGTTTGTGCCCGCTTTGATTTGTTCTTCATGCTACCTTCGATGTCCAGTTCAGCGTAGTTCAGCGTCGTGACTCGCTGTACGACTAAAATTCCTTAGCCATCAGTTTACACACCAAAATCCAAATCAAGTTGTTTTAGGACAAAACAATACGAAAGGTAAAAAGCCGATTCTTAACCCATTGAAAGAATTATTTCTGCCACTGTTGTAAACGTCCGACATCTTTGACATTATATGGAGCCCGCATTTTTAAGCAGCGGTTGCCACCACACGGAAAAATCGTATCGGGAGTCAGGAACCAGGAGCCAGGAGCCAGAGTTCAGTGAACAAAATGACTTTCCGACATTCTCTGAGATTATTTTATTGTTATTGTATGCTGATAAATAATTTAGAATTCCAAATCTTTTGGCAACTTTATTCAGACCATGATTATAAATGATCCCATGTCTTCTCAAACTCGGAGATAGAAGTCGTTTTGTCTTCGTGTTTTGGAAAGAACTATTTTTTCTATTTTAGTTGCACGTGAAATAGCAGCGAAGTGAAGCCGGATGTTGGTGCAGACCAGTTCAAAGAGACAAATAAAGCGTGAGACACGTCCAGATTTTTTTCATACTGGAGTCCCTTCTCCCCGGGGGAGTGTCCAAATTGCGTACAAATGCTCTAACCTGCTGGCACCAGATTTGACTGTCATAAACAGTGAATTTTTTTTATCTCGCACGGTCTTTTGGGGGTCTTATAAAGCTTAACTGTGGCACTAATGTTCCCAAGTAGAATTCAAAATACAGCACACTTTCACATTGAGTTAGATATTTTTCTCAAAGAACCGCTTCCATATGTTTAACACCCTTCCCACATTCCCTCCGAGAGATACGGTCTGACTACAAAAAGGGCTATTATGGACCATTATTATCATGGTAATTAATGTTATGTCAACATCGAATAAAGTCAAAATTTCAAGTAACACGACTTTCTCAACCTATTTTCAACACACCAGTTATAACAGGATATTGGGGCGTACAACAATGGATAGCGTATTCCGCATTCCGGAGTCCGGTAGTCCGGCGTCACAGATTCGATCTTTTTGGGAGAGTCTAAAGTCAAAGATGGAGGATGTTCGAGCAGAAGGTTGTTTTCTGTTGATATAGACGGATTGTCAGTGATCCTTCTTGTCCTTTGAGAATGATTTTGTTCTTTCTGACTACAACTTATTTCAAAGACTTCGAATGTTCGGTGAAAAGCCGACACTTTTAATTCTGCAATGTTTCAAGATGTTTCGATTTCATTACCTCGTCACGAAGTAACGTCACAAAGGACCAGACGAAACTGGAGCAGCAAATCTGGACTAAGGCACCTGAGAGACGTGTATGTAACATTTATTCACTATCTTTTATCCTTTTTGAGTCTTGTTTCACCTACAAGTTGGACCGATCGAAGTTTTGAACTAACTCTTTTGCTCCTTGTGTTTACTCAAGCGTTCCATAAAATATCCATCCAAACGTCCATAAATAACACAGAAAACATGCCTCAGGTGACACGTTCTAACAATTCCGCTATTAGTATCGATAATGACGCATCTGATTTGTGACTTCTCGTCAACTGTGTGCTATTTTTGTTTAAAAAAACGAATGTTACGTTTCTTCCAATTTTGGTCAAATGACAAATAAGCGTCAAGTCAAATGTACATAATACGTCATTATTGATAAAGTATGAGATTGCCCAAATATTTTATGATTTATTTGATAACCTTAAAGATGTCTTTCAAAGAATATGTGAGAATTAAGTACATAGGTTGTTGCTCATGGGAGATGTTAGCCACTAAAATACCTTAAATTTAGGGTTTGGTCAAAACAGTGAGAAGATGTCCTTACTTTAGGCTAAATAATAGGAAGAGATCGAATTAGAGAGTAAAAATAGATTACTGAGCATTAAGTTTGATAAACATAGAAGATGGTAAAGTTGATTAGATTTGAAGTTGTCTTTTCTTCTTGTTGAACAGCCAAACCAAAGTCAGCTAATTAATTATGCAAAAATGAGTAGATTTTGTCGTTTTTAGGGGGGGTCCCTGTAAATCCCAGGGAATTCAATATTGCGACCTTATTTTTTGTCGAGGTTAATATCTCACCACACCCATCAATTGTGCCAAGTTTGAGCGAAATCCGTGGTTTGAGCATTATCACCTCCTGCCTGGTTCTCTCATGGACACACTCTTAAGTGTTAAAGAAGGCGTTAGTAAGAAGGACTTTTAGTAATGAGCTATTTTAATTAAATTGCGTTAATTAGTGACACAGCAACTAAAATAGGGTAATTTTAGTGCAGTGGAATATATAAGGTGTTGTATATTATATTCTGTTACTGTTTTTATATAAGGTTCTGTGCCCAGCTGCTAAGATTGATTTTCTTGCAAGATCTTTTTCTGAAATCACATAGCTCACCTCTCCCTACCGCCTCAGTATTGACTGACTCTGGGTGGTCTTGCGTGAGTAAAGCGGGATAACATTCGAGAGTTTTAAAAACAATATCCACCTGTCGATTTGTCGCTGACTGATATTCTTAACACATGAATTATAACATTTCTTGTTCCCTACAAATTTAGAGTTTCAATAAAAATGCTCTGAGCGTGCAAGATGAAGCTGTAAGCGAGCATAAAGGCGCATATAATTCAAAAGTTTTGGTTTGAAGTAATTAGCTGGTGGAAAACTCACAGTGGTGAATGTTTGCTATTTGATGACTTAAGTATAATGTATGGCTATAATCCCGAAGATCCTAAAAGGCAAATCCTTAACTATTATATCCTTCTTGGCAAGAGACATATCTTCCTGCAAAGGAGCGAAATTAAACCCCCAAGCTTTGATCACTTTCTTGAATTCGTTAAAGACAAGTTAATTGTGCAAAGATCGATTTTTATTCCAAAGGACAAAAAGCAAAATTTCTTTCACAATGGAAGCCTCTCCTCTCCTTACTGTAAATGATTATAGTCTAATCTACGTATGCGTGAAGCAAGCCTGGTTGCAGTGTATGTTGTATTAATCGTTGGAATCTTAATTCTTAATTGTAATTTTTTGTAACCTTAAATTTTGTAGTGAAAGTGTTGTAAGTGATGTAGTGGTAATAAAGATCTCTGTTAATAAAAAAAAAAAAAAAAAAAAAAAAAAAAATAAAGGCGCATATGGTATTCAAAAAATTACCAACAATGAGAACGTTTTGAATTTTTAACAGACGGCAAAGTCGAGTCTCGCAAACACCGTGATTAACGCAAAAGTACGAAAAGAAAGACAATTGGTATTCCCCATAGTCAACATGCGAGTATTTGGCGCAAAAAATTACGCTCTATCATTGAGATTTGCCTCTCTATGAGACGATTCCTGACATGTCACTGCCGCCAAACCAAACTGTCAGTGATCCGTAAACATGCAAATATAGCGCTTAATTTGTTATTTCTTTGGTAGATAAAAAGGGATAAAAGAAATGGATAAAGAAACTGTTGAGAATTGCTCTACGATTGCAAAATTAAGTTTTTTAGCGCACAATAATACATCTGTCTCGTAAATAACATAATGGAGCGGCGTTAATAAAGTAAGTCAAAGAATTTGTCTACGAGCTGAGCTTCAAATTATAAAGGTCCGGTTCAAACGCAGTACCTCAAGTAAGTTGAGTTTCTTTCTTGTTAAGTTCGGCGTTTGACCCGGTTAAGGTCACCTGTTGGTGTTTGAATCGGCCGAGGCTTTAAAATACAATCAACCGAACTTAAATACGGTGTTTGACCCGGGTCCAATACATTTAAATTATTTAACCACTCACCACTCGGCAGAGACCCGACCAACAAACATGCTACAATCATAAGATCGGGGCAATTCATAGTACAGATCTTGGTATTCCTTTAGAAAGCTACGTCGAAAAAGGACGATGATGTTGCAAACTCTTTTGTGTGACTCGCGTTGACACGCCTTGTATTTTTAATGCGCAAGTGAGGTCACTACCTATGTATATGTTAAAGTTCCCGGATGATCAAGTCACTTCAGGAAAGAACCGTGCAAAAGAACGTTGTTTGCTGCGCGTTGTGTACCCGCAGTTGAATTCTTTTCTTATTCAAACACTTTCTTTTGCTCCAATAAATTTGCATAGATGCTGGCCACGTGAGTGAAAACGTTCTATAACTGGTAAATTTTTATTATAAACTTATACATTTTTCATAAACGTAGCCGTATTCCCTGTGGACGCTCGTGCAACACGGACCTTCATTTCTGTCCAATTACTTGCTAGAGTTGAATTTTCAGGCGTGTGTTTGGTCATCTCCCTCGGGAGTGAAGGGAATTTGTTCAGTTTAGCTGCAAGCGCCAGATGAAAGGATTCCTGCGGTGCCCCCTTCTGGGGCAAGAGGGTGTCCCCGGGGAGGGTCATCTGTCCCCCCTACCCCTAATTTAACTCTTATCTTGGTCTAGTCCAACCGCCTTCTCTTGAGTCCCCAGGCCTCTGTTGAGCTAGCGTCCACTGGGAATAGATTACAATTCATACTATTTTACTCCAATAGTTGATATGAACAGATTGCATTCATGCATGTAAAGTAAATGTGTGGGGTTCATGATACGGAAATCTTACCCCATAATTTGGCTTGTCAGCAAAACAAAAAGGAAACGAAATATGCATCAGTTAGAGAAATCAGACTGCGGACTGATCGAAGGTAAATTCGTAAACACCAGAGCAGTTCTAGGCTTGTTCATGAGAAATTTTCCACGTAGTTGACTTCGTAAGCCTTCTCGGCAAACTTGTCAGGCACGTGCAGGAAAATATTTCTCGCCCCATAAAAGTTTGTAAATTTGTTAAATTTTTCTCCTCAACGCTGCAAGAGGATCGAATGAAACTGGTAGATTAAACTTTGGGGGCTCATTTTCCTTGAAAAACTGAAAGCTCTTCTCCAAGAAAGCGCTGGAGGTGAACTCCTTCGTATAAGAAGATCACGAAAGCAGCGAGATACATTTAGATCCTGGCCTCTGATTGGGCACCAAAAATTTTTTTTGTACCCAATCAAGGACGAGAATTCGTGGATCTGGTTCGTTAAGAGCAGTATCCCAAGGCTCCCGCCCGTTCCTGAAAACTTTCGCCGCCGTTTTTCCTGACCCAACTGACCGTCCCTGGGTCTCCGCGGAGGATGATTTGTAACGAATGAAACCATAGAATCTTTTGTTTCAAGAACCAATGCGCTTCTGTTTGGCACATTGATATCGATCAATAGGAGCGCTTACCATTTATATGGAAAACCGGGAAATTCCGGGAAGAAGTCAAATGGAACTGTTCATTCCGGTGGAAATTTTCTGGAAAAAAAGTAATACCTTTCGAGATATTACCTTTTTTCCATTTTTATGGAAACGACCGACATTTTGTGTACCATTTGTTTGGATTACCTAGTGCCAGGCTTCACGTACTTACCGGTACTTTGAAAATGGTACAACTCAATCCCGTTCCTGTTTTCTTTGCCAAAAAGAATACCAGTACCATTTGACGAAAAATTTTCACCGAAATTTCTTTACAAATGGTAAACACTCCTGGTGACGTCAGCGTGGGTGGCCCACGTGACCTTCCCGTAACAAGATCAGAGTCAGCGTATCAGAGCAGTAAGCCATTTATTGGGTTAGCCCAGCTGTAAATAGGTTAGGAATGATTGAAGTAGATTTATTAATAATTGTTCAACGTAAATTTGATAATTCCATCAACGCCAGTGGTAACTTTGGACTATAATTCTTTCATATGCTGCTCAATAGTCTTGTGGTGTGATTGATCTATGTTGTAGAAAAGCCTCCGTGATAAATCTCGAAGTAGTATGAGAGTGTTTGTTTATTATGGATTTTTTTTTAAGACGCATTGGCGACCTCTGACGAAACTACAGAACAGTAAGTAATAAAAAAATTAGTTAAAAAGGAAAAGTCCTCTGAATTTTCAGCACCTTGTTATGGTTTGTGTTTGCTCAGTCACAGTACAGCTGTAGACCACAGAACAACATGGTTAAATCAGCTCCTTCGATGCACTTGCAGCACATTGGGAAATGTTATAGGAAAACTGTTGATCCAGTTATTCTCTAATGTTTCTTCACTGCGATGAAGATAACGTACTGAAACGAGCAAAACAATGAAACAATATTCATGTTAAGGTCTGAAGCATGAATATAAAAAGAGGTTTGAGGTTTTGCGTCATTTTTCATCATCAGCATTAACATCAGCATCAGGAGCATCATCATCGTTATTATTCTAGCAAAACATTCTAAGAGGCTGAGTGAGATGGTTATAAGTGTATGCCACAAATTATTGAATCGACCTTAAATCATCTTATATCGCAAGTTTCTCTAAGTTATTTTAACGATCTTATACTGACAGTTGACATAGCGTTTATGTATACATCTTCATCGATGTTTTCTTAGGTTTCTTATTTAAGTTGTCCTTGCAATACTTATGTTCCCTTTGTTAGCATTTCCTTAATTTCTGATATAGAATTTCCAGTTATATTATTAATTCATTGATCTTACTCTTAGGTGGAAGCTTACCAGCGAACAGCTCGCGAACAGCCTGCATTTGTAGGCTGATTTAGCAACATGACGGGAACGTCAGTTGACGACGGGAAAGCGCGCAGAAAGGACTGAACACGACTTCCAATGCTCAATTTGCCGCTCTGCCATTGGTCAAGCCAGTTATTTGATTTGCGCGCGCCGTCGTCAACTGACGTTCCTGTTCTGTTGCTAAATTAGCCTATTGACAGTGAGCGCGCACGCGCAAAGGTGACGTCATTTATACGTCGCGAACTACAACTTATTGTTGCATCAGTAACAGTAAAAAAAAAATATTTACAAATGGCTCCAATACAAAGTCCGCGCTGTTCCGATATTTGGCCTAAAGGCGGCAAAAACT